GGTATTTTATTCCTTTTGTTGCCATTATGAATGGGTATATTTTCTTAATTTCATTAAAGAGTATTCATTGATATATATAGAAAGAAAATTGGATTTTATATAGTTATCTTATATTCTGTCACCAGAATAAAGATTTTGAGATTTGTCTATGTGTATGTCAGTAATTTATTCCTTCTATGACTGGGTAGTATTTTATTGCTTATCTAGGTTGCTTTTGAACTTTTGCATTGCTTCCTTTTGTTAGCTATTATGACTTAGGCTACCATAAACATTTATGCACCAGTCTTTCTGTGGGCATATGTTTCATGGTAGTGGATAAGTATGGGGAGTAGAATTGCTGGGTTAAGGATAGATGGATGTTCAAAGAAGAAATTTCCCATAGTGGTTTTACTATTTTGTATCCCACCAGCAATGAATTAGAATTCTGGTTGTTTCTTATTCTTACCAACATCTGATGTTGTCATTCTTTTAAAATATAACAACCATTTTAGTGGGGATAGAATATTTTATTGTTGTTTCACCTTGCACTTTAATGACTAATGAAGTGGAATACTTTTTCTTGGGCCTATCGACCAGTCGTATGCCTTAGTTTGAATTCCTAAGTCTTTTACCCTTTCTTTGTAATTTGTTTGTTATCTTTCTGTGTTTCAGAAACTCTTTGTATGTTCTGAATATGAGCTCTTTGTCACATATGTTTTATGAATGCTTTCTCCCACTTTGTGGTTATTTGTTTTTAGTGGTGTCTTTGTCATCTTCATTTCAATATCATTTTATAAAACAGATTTTGATTTGTATGTGTGTCTATAAATCTACCTCACATGTTTACCATATCTTTTTGTTATCACTAATATTTTATATTAGTGGTTTTTATTAGTTATAGTATGTCATATCTTCAGAAATGAAAGTTGTTTCATCTTTCTAATACAGCTAACATTTAGACCATATATCTGTTTGCATTGTTCGAATCTACTATGATAGCGACATGTGATTTCCATCCTTATTCCAGATATTTAAAGGAAATTGTTTAGCTCTACTAAGTATCATATTATCTGTCATTTTATGGTATGCATTTTTATAGTATTGAGAGAATTCTTTTTTTGTATTTTACAATTTGTATTGCATGCTGCATATTATTATATTTCTTTCAGACATCTATTAAAATTATGGTTTTTCTAATTTGTTTTATGAATTTGATAGCAGTTTGCTCAATTAAAAAGTCATTGACCTCCTAGGACAAATCTCGTTTGGTTTTAGGGCTACTGAATTCAGTCTGTTTAGTGTTTTTCATTTTTTTAAATCTTATTTTATCATTTTTACAATCATTTACATGTGCATACGTTATTTGCCCCCCACCCCTCCCTGAACAGGGCAGAACCTATTCCACCATCTTGTGTTTAGTATTTTTTGTTTTTGATTTTTATATGTGTTTCCATAAGTGAGATTACTTTTCTTTTTTAATTATTTATACAAATCATTATTGGTTTATGATATTTAATACAATAATAGAGTACTATTGTGTCCTTCTTTATAATCTATGAAGTTTACAGACATTTGAAAATTTTTCTGCTACAATTCTATGCCTACAGGACCTTTCATTGGAGGCAAATATTTGAAAATGCAAAAAATTTCTCTACCATGTGATTTACATCTAAGATGTAAATTAAAAATTATTTTATCAAAAACCCATCTTACTAAAATTTAAATTATTTAGAATATAATTGTGCAAGAATCTTTGTCTTAATAATTTGTTATACAAATGATAGGTACTTAATGTAGGAAGACAGGAAAAATAACATTTTATCAGGAAGTAAGGAAATATTCTCATGTACCTTTCACTTAGATATAATTATCTGTGGTGAATAACATAATATTCTGGGTATTTCTGTATTTATACAATTTTTAAATTTTTCTTATATGTAACATTTCCCTAAATTTGTCCCTGTCCTCCTTTTAAAAAATATTATTTGCCTAATTCCAAGAAAAATCCTAGCAGGATACTGGATTCCTCTTTAAGTCTCTCCCTAGGCCTCCCCTCCTTTCATATCAAAATTGTCTTTTTTTTAAATACAGTTTACATCTTTCCTTTTCTGATTCATTACCTTTCAGGGATTCTTGATTCCATGCAATGCAACTTGGTTGTGACTCCTTCTTTCAAGTGATGTTGTTGTGGAAAAGAATCACCAGGATGCAGTAGTTGCTAAATTGCATGGGCACAAAACTCTCTGATGTGACTGTAGCATTTGACGTTTATTTTTGTTTATAATCGGATTTTGCCTTTGTCATTTGGGACAGCACATACTACTTCTCATTTTGTAACTTAATTTTGTTATAATTTCAAGCTTATAAAAAGTTATGATAGTACTTGATAAGGACTCCCTGAACATAGATTCACATGTATTTTTTTTTGACTATTTGAAAGTAAGTTAGAGGCATCCTTGTCCCCTGATTGTACCACTTCATGGTGTATTTCTTAAGTAATAAGGCTACTTTTATATACAAGTAGAATAGAACTGTTAACTAGAAGTGTTAACAGTAATACAATAGGATCTAGGTCAGAGGCTATCTTCCAGTTTTGCCAATTATCTCAATAACGTCTTGTACGAAGTCTGCCCTTTCCCTATTCAAGTTGAAGAGCCAGTCCAGGGTCAGTGTATTTAGATATCATTCTCTTTAGTCTCTTTGAACCTGGAATAGTTCCTCAGCCTTTCTTGGGGTTTCTTGACTTTTTCTTGACCTTAACATTTTTGAAGAGGGTGGGCCAGTTTTGTACAAGGTCTCCCAATTTAAGTTTGTGGTTAGATTTAGGTTATTGATGTGTCCTTTCTATTTGTCTCTTGCTAGAGCATCTCTGCAGATATGTTCTGTTGCCCTGTGCATCTTACCAGGAGGCACATGATGTCTGCCAGATAGCTAATGCTAGTCTTGATCAATTTGTTAAGGTGTGTGTACAAAGTTGCTGTTATTCTTTTCCTTTTCTAATTTGTAATTTATGGAGGATACATTGAGAATAATTAAGTATCCTATTCTCCACAAAATTTGATGTTTTAGTTTTAGCAGCCCTTGATAACTTTGTAATTCTCCCATTCCTTCTGTAATTATTAGTTGTCATTGTGCTAAATTAAGTAAAAGAGCTTTCCTTTCAAATTGTCATTTATATCACTGTGGATTCATGGATAGCTATATTCATTGGGTTTTGCTCTTGTACTATCGTTGTTTATTTAGGTACCCGTTTTGTCACTGAATTGGTCAGTGTAAACCCCTTTGAGCCGTGTCTTGAATTATTTTAATTTGTTCATATGATTCCTTGAACATTTTAAAACTTTATAATTCAAGAATATTCTCCAGGCTTATTTTGTATTTTCTTGACCTGAACTCTAGAGTGAGTCCGTTCTTGCTGGATATATCTATATCTATATCTATCTATCTATCTATCTATCTATCTATCTATCTATCTATCTATCTATTTTAAATAAAGAACGGTGTTTAGAAGCCAAGATCTGGGAACTAATGTGTGCTTCCTGGTACTGAGGCATTATTGTATCTAGAGCCTCCAGTGCACTATGTAGGAAGTCTGGGAAGTGTGTGTGTGTGTGTGTGTGTGTGTGCATACACTATAAATCTAAGCTAGACAAACATGCAAAATAATTTATATGCATTAAAAACATTACCTCTTTTTCCAATTCAGTTTCATAGGGTACATTCTAGATCCCCAAACTTCCATATTTGTGGTTTGTAGTTACTTTCCTCATTGTGAAAAACATGATTATCTTGTTGTCATTTCCTTGGTCGTAGAGTATATGAAAGGCAGTTTCAGAATTGTCAAATTCACACCATCATAAAAAATGAAATCATTAAATAGAGTTTAATATTTCTGTGTAATTTTTAGAAGTGAATATAAATGTGAAATAGACAAATCTTATGTGGTCAATTCTTTGAGTTCTGATACATACTCTTTTTGAGTTTTGACCCCATCCCCTTAATCTTCTGTGGGTCCTGACTTGTCCTTCTGAGTTTTCCTTGCTGGCTTCCTATCTCTATGTTATTCTTTAGTTTTGTTTCGCAAAGTTGATTTTTTTCCACTGTCTTTTGTATTACTTTATGTTATATCTATTGGTATGGTAGCCTCTGCAACTAGAGTCATTATCAAGGTTAGTTCATTTTAGAAACCCTATGGTCTCTCATCATGTTAGGTATGAGGAAATATTAAGTGACATTTTTGAATAAAAATGCAGACAGCAATATTACTTATATCAATTTGTAGGTTATCAGTAGAAGTCTCATTTGGGAATCCTGAATAACTGAAAGATCAGATTTGTATAACTCCAGATGAATAATCTTATCTCATTAACTCTAGCTGTGCATTTTTGTATTTATTTTTCACATTTTTATCCTCTGTGAAACAGAGCAGTGTTTTTAGTCCATGGCTCTTAAAATGGGGATGAGCTAGTTCTGAAAAGTTCCATTGGAGAGAAACCACCAGCGTCAAAATGTCTTAAGACTTAGTGAAGTATAGTAAATAGTTATTTTGGTCAATACTACCACTGTAAAATAAGATAATTAGGGGCTTTTTTAGAATGTAAAAGGCAGGCTGAAAAAATCCTTAATGTTGGGATCAGGAAGTATAAGATGAAATGACAGACGAGTAAGTTCCTAGGTTATCTAACTCCACAGACAGCAGGGCTGTGAGGTGTGTGAAGGCAGGGTTTTGGTCCTGTTTGACTTTCTATCTGTAGTGAATGACAGTGGCTTTACAATAGCTGTGAGGTGGCGGGGGTACATACTTCAACTCTAATTAATTACAGTGAGCATTCCCCTGTCTTGGTACACATGCAGAGGCAGAGCCCTCCCTCCAGAGAGTCCTACTGAGCGAAGGGTAATACTGAGTAGATACATTTTTCTTCTAACCCAGGCAACCAGAGAACTCTGGTGGCTCTGAATGTATTGTAACTTCTTTTTATGTCCTTTATTAAAAAAATAACACTTACTTTCTTTATCAACAGGAGTGAAACCTCGGTCCAGTTGGTCCATTGATCCTTTTGGACATTCACCAACAATGTCTTATCTTCTAAAACGTGCTGGATTTTCACATATGCTTATCCAGAGAGTTCATTATGCAGTTAAAAAACACTTTGCATTGCATAAAACATTGGAGTTTTTTTGGAGACAGAATTGGGGTATGTCATGTGATGAAAATTAAGATTCCACTTGATTAGATGTTATGTCATGAAATATGAACTTTACATTGTGGGTTTGATTCAGAGTGTCCTTGAAAACCAGATTGCTTAAATATATTACATTTATTTTCCAATGTATTTGTGTCAAGATTCTGTTACACAATGATGCTGATGTTTACAGAACATTATAGAATTTTTTTTATATGGAAAGGTAGTAAATAAATAAAAGGAGTTAGCATTGTAAAAATCATGCTTTTGCATCTAGTTTAAAAAGCACATGTTTTAGCACAAAGTTGAACATGCATTAGAGCTGATGTGTGGTCATTTGTCTCATATTCAGCTAGTGTTCCTTTCATTCTGTCTTTCTTGTCTCTGCATCTTTGAAGAATTACTCTTGAAAACCTCTATCATGTCCTGGAAGCGCCCTCCTGCTGTGTGTATCATCTGTTTTCACTCTGTGTTCTGTGTGCACACAAGTGTTCCAAGGACATACTTCTGCAAGTCTCTGTTGAGGGACAGGAGACAGGATCTAGGTCTCTTGGGAGGCTATTGCCTTTACTAACCCCTATTTAGTTCAGAACACATTATTTTAAAATTCATTTTTATTGATTGATTCTTATTATGGGTCATGCCTTATGTTAAATGCTTTATATGTACTCTCATATTTAGCATTTATCACAATCCTTTAAATTAGGTTCTATCATTATACCTTTTTATGGTGAAAACACAGTCTTAAGCTATGTGAAGCTATTTGTAAAAAAAGTCAGAGAGGTTTGAATCTGGTTGTGTGTAGTTCTTAAAACCCAAGCTCCTAACTCCCTGGCATTGAATTCTTATTAAGACTTTATCTGAAGAAAGGATTTTGTTGCTAAAAAGATGTTAGGAAACTACTGTATTACATCATACTTGCTTTCCTGCGTAACCCAGACCCTTAAGTGTTTCAGAACACTTCAGAAAAATCATTTGTAAATCTAGACTGTAAGTTTTAAGGAAAGCAATTAGCTCTATAACCTTTCTATTGTGGAAAACTAAACCTGTAGGGGACACAAGAACATGCAGGTGATTGCATCCTGCATAGTTTGATTACATGCAAAGGAACAAAAAAAAGACTGTTAATTTGAGGAAACCTAGCTTAAATAAATGTGCACATTCGAATTTCCCCTAAATATCATTTGTAAGAAATTATTGAGTACTTTCATGTACTTAATACAGTGTTAGGAAGAAACATAGAAAAGATCTTTGCCTATAAGGAAATTGTTTATTTTTTGGTGGTACTGGGACTGCCTTGTGCTTGCTAGGCACGCATTCCACCACTTGGGCCACACCTCCAGCCTCTGTAAGGGAACTGTAGTCTGATTTGATAAAATACAGATAAAATCAAATGCAGCAGAGAAATTAAATATGTACATATATAAATAGGAGGATATTAGGAAAAGTAGTAGGGTATGTCTTGATCTGTAAGAGAGAGGAGGAAGTCCCTATCAGTTCTGGGACTTGTGATCGCCTATATGCACATGGGACACATTAGTGACTGGCATACATGGTGTCATACTTGCACACATGCTTCAGTGGAACAGCTGACTGCATCTAAATATACAGGTTTTAATAGTTTAAAAACTTATAAAAGAAATGCTGATTATTTTAGCTAAATGGTTAAAACTGGGATATATTAGAACTTCTCAGGTAGATTTGAATATGTTGTTTTTTGAAAGATGTTTTCTGTTTTTCATATTGTTGTACTGGGTGTTCATTATGACATTTATAAAAGTTCTTACAATATATAACAGTTGACTTCGCCCAACCCATTCATTTTCTTTTATCCCCTTCCCCCCATTCCTGGAATGTTTCAACAGGTATCAATTTTCCATTTTCATACATGTGTACATAATATTTCCATCATATTCACCCTCCTTCACCCTTTCCTTCTACTCCCTCCTACTGATACCAACCCCCTAGACAGAATCTGTTTTGCCTTCCTGTTCTCCATTTTTATTAGAAAAAAAATGGCATTTTTGTTTGTTTAAGATAGCTTCACAGGGTGTTTCATTGTGGCATTTCCATGTATATATGCATTATAACCCAAATTTGTTCTTTCCCTCTATTTTTCTCCTTTCTACCTTAGTCCCCTTCTTGTGATGATTTCAACGGGTTTAAAAATTCTATATTCATTCTTGTATAGGAAGTACATCAACCATATTCACCTTCTTAACTTCCTTCTTTTATCCTCTCTGTCTCTCATATGTGACCTCCCCTCAGTGTGACCTGTTTTTCATAATATTGCTTGTATTTGTATTCCACATATGAGAGAAAACATGTGACCCTTGGCTTTCTGACCTGGATAACTTAAGATGACGTTCTCCAGTGAAAGATATTTTCAAATTAGTTTGAACTTGTTTATGTGTACTGGTTCTTAATGAAGCCATTATTATCATTTTTCAAAAATGTAAATTTTTTTGGTTTTCTTTTATATTTATTATAAAAGCAATATATGCTTATTGCAAGAAATAAACCCATACATAAATAAAAGTGGGAGAGGTGTTTAAAGCTCGGGATCCCACTCATCAGGATAGCCACTTTTAACTATTAGTTAAGTCCTCCAGTCTCGCTTGATGGTAGCACCTGACCTTTCCCTGGTAGTGGTCTCATGGTGATGCTGCCGTTTTCACTGAAAACAATTCTCCACCTGTAATCATCCCTTCTTTTCCGTAGCTTTTTTGTTTGCTTTATTTTTGTCTTTTGTAAAATTGCCTTTTCTTTTCCTGTGCTCCTTTCTTGATGAAAAGTCTCATTGACTCATTCTTGGCAAACATCATGAGAGACTCCATGAACTTTCCTCTCTCACACTTCTCTTCCTCAGTGCAAGAGGCATTTGTCCCATGTTTTCATAATCGGTCACCACCTTGTTCTTTCAGTTCCGTTTTTTAATCTTCTCTCTTACTCCGCCTCTCTGGCTAGTGTCATGGTATCAGTGTGTCCTCTTTGCTGTGGTAGCAACAGATGTAGCAGGACCTGGCAGCCAGAGGTAGACATGGTCATGATTTTGTATGAACCAGCTGTAACCTTTGTTTCTACTCAGTTTGTATCCTTTCAGGTCAGCAGATGGTGACTTGTTATGGGGCTTTTCTGTCTCTGCCATACTTAGATAGAAAAGTTAAACAGAAACTGAAATGTGTATTTTCCTTCAGAATGACTATTAAGCACTGCTGGGGTAAATGTCCTGGTAGTGAAAGGGGTTGTTAATTTAGGGTAGTGGTTGCGTTATATATGTACGTATATGTGTATATGTATAAAGTAATTGCACTTGAACAGCTTTGGGAAAACAAATTTTGTAAATACAAGTTTGTCTGTCTGTTGACTTTTATTTTAGATCTGGGATCCGTCACAGATATTTTTTGCCACATGATGCCCTTCTATAGCTATGACATTCCTCACACTTGTGGACCTGATCCTAAAATATGCTGTCAGTTTGATTTTAAACGTGTTCCTGGAGGCAGATTTGGTTGTCCCTGGGGAGTTCCTGCAGAAGCAATATCTCCTGGAAATGTCCAAAGCAGGTATGAAAGTTTGTATTTCATAAGACAATATCATGAGCAAAGTAGGTACTCAGCTGTAAGTTGCTGAAGAGGTGGCTTCCTTATCCTGTGTATGTATCCATTTAAGTCAGATCTGGAGCCTCGAGTATGCCTATTATGCGTTATAATTTAATGGAAAGTGAACAATAGCAGATCGATACGCAGTGGCTAGCCTATAATACACTATTATTACCATCTCCTTTACCTTCATTATAAAAGCTTTCTACTGTGGTTGATTGATTTTATATACTTTATATGTTGATAATAAAACTTCTGGTTCCCATTGTACAAATTGGTAAGAAAAGCAACTCAACTGCAGAAACACATTTATTGAAATGGAGCACGTAAAGAGTGTAATTATCTGTTCCCTTAATAACAATTTCAATAATAGTGAATGCTGCCCAGCTCTGATGAATACATATCTTTGCGTCTCTCTGATGCTTTTGACTTTCAGAAAACCTTAATTAGGAATGTTTATACTTAAATACATTTAATTGAAAATCAAAGCAATGAACTATTTCTTTAGAAGAAAATTGTGCTAATGAAGGAAGCATTTCATTAAGCCAAGTTACCTATAGTTTCTAATTTTGTGGTTTTTAACTTCAATTTCTTCACTTAAAAATTAAAAATATATAATGTATCAAAATAAAACATTGTGTTGTTAAAGACAATAAACTTTGTGAGGAATATAATACATCCTTTAAAATAAATTAAGATCTTTGTACTGTCAAATCAATGTATTAAAAAAAGTTACTTTAAAAAATTATTTGTAAGGAAGTGAGATTGAATCTCTTTACCTTGACTTTATGACTGTGGTCACTTTTTGGTTCCTATAGCAGTGAGAAGAAATGAGGACCTCTTCTCACCATCTGCTTTCTAGGGTTAGGGTGCTCAGGCATAAGAGAACAAGCCTGTATAGTGTAGTAGAAGCTATAGTGGAAAAGAAGGAATGAGTGTGGGAAATCTGACTGAACAGCTGCTTGTATTTATAGGTATTTATACCACCCTTCTCAGCTTAGGTGGTCAGTGATTGGGAACTATTGTAAGATTGGTTAGATGTTTCAGTCTACCCTTAGGTATTATGAAACCCTTTTTTGGATAAAAACCCACTTTGTATAATTCTCTTGCTATGTCTAATAACCCCCAGGAACACACCTTGCCCTTAGTTCCAGTGATTCTGAAAGTGGTTCCCACGCACTGGGGGTATATGGATGAACGAGTCTGTATAATACTTGTGTAGATTTTTTTTTAAAAAAAAAACTTCTTTCAAGTCTTGAAATCCTAACCTCACTGGTTACTTCACACTCAAATATTATCTTGTTTTTGACCTGGTAATACATGGAGATCAAACACAGTCATTTCAGCTCATTGACAACATTTCAACTTTTTAATACCCTCAAGAAAATGAGAAGATATCTTTTGATTTTTCATTTCAGCGGGTTCCTCCTACTTTGTAAATAATGAAATACCATTCTTCATTATTTGTTTGTCTGGTACTGTATTTTAGTTTGGCTTTTTTTCACTGAATGACATAAAATTTGATGTTTTAAGGATTTTTTTGTTGTTGGTTAGAGTCGACATTTCTTAGCTGATAGAATAAGTGCAGACTGTACCTGCGTCCCTTCTGATGTGATGTTGGTCAATTCAGTCATCTCAGTTAGCCATACATTTAGTCTCAAATATACACAGGTGGTGTAAAAATGGTTACTTAACTTTCCCAGGGTTGACACTTTCTGAGAAGGAGTTGGAGGTTTAGGACAGATGCCAGACGTAAAAGGCATAGGAATAATGTTTATAATTTTCTCTATGTGTGTAAAGCACATATGTACACAAGCTTTGGTATATCTGTCTCATAGGAAACCTGTTTTATGCTGGCTGCTTCAGGGATCCAGTTGGATGATCAGTCACAATGTATCTTTTATCTGTGGCTGATAGATTTGATTTTTTTGTTTTTTTGGCCCTTGTTTCTTTTGGTCTTATTTCTATTTTTGTGAGACTAATCTCATTGCTCTTATGTTATTTTATTGTAAACAATCTAAAATTGTTTTGGGCAAATGTGAAATGTTAGTATATTAGTAGAAAAGATTAAATACTGTGCTGAATACTAACCTCAGAAAACAAAGCATTATAATGTTGCATAAGAACCCTGTGGTTACATTTTTACTCACCAAATTACTAGATTATTGCTAAAATTTAATATTTGCAAAGCAATTTCAGAGACCATAAGTTTTAAAAGACTATAGGGGATTCTAAATGAAGCTAAATAGCTTTTCATAATTTTTTTTAAAATGCCCCTTTCTATTATTGATTGAGTTACTTTCATAAGTTTTTATACTGTGAATTGGAATTTACTTTTGGATAATCCTAGAAATGAAAACTAGAATGCTAGGTAAAAACATACTTGTCATTTAAACACTAATTTCTGAAGCTTGGGTTCTGTAAACCCTGTGAATTACTTTGGGTTCATCTGCTTGTTTAATTTGATTTTCACAAGCGATAAGCCTTCTCTCTTAGTTTGTACTACCAGACTTTCTCAAATAGTGACCTAACTCGGCATTTCCCAAAGGCTTTTCTGCAGAATACCAAATATGAAGTATAAAAGCTGTTCATCGTCTCAGCACATGTGTTTAGCTGACCTTTTGAGTCATGGGTTAGAGCCCAAGGAAAAAGAAACCACAATAGATAATTCAACTCCTAAGCATTACCCGGTGGTCAGTATTGAAAGGACACAGTGACAAATAATCAGATTATTAATGGCAGGTTTTTAGTGACTTGGTTTGTTTCTTTGGAAAAGGAAATATTGTTGTATGAAATGTTACAGGTTAACATATCTATTGGTTTTACTCAAAATGCACTTTTTCTATGTTTAATTAGGCTATTAAGATTTTTGATTAAATTAGAGAAAGGAATAGTCAAGTAAATCAAACTTCAAAGATGGCGTAGATGAGAAATACTTTTGTCTTCTTGGAATAAGTGAGTGTGAAACATGGTCTGTCTTGGATCCAGTTACTGTGGTTGAGCTTCAGGAAGACTTTGGAATCCCAGTAATTACTGGGACTCCAATTATTACTGATTTCGCGAAGGATAATCCATTGAAAAGCTATGGTTATTCATAAAAGATATGGTTGTTAAAAAATCCACCTTACAAATCCTATTTTGTCTAAAATCTAGAAAAACATTTAGTAGTTTTCTTCCGTATAGTACACTTGTGAATTTAGATACTTCTTTATTACTGAGTTGCCCCACTGACCTCACATTTTTCCTTCCTTTTTCATAGGGCTCGGCTACTACTTGATCAGTACCGAAAAAAGTCAAAACTTTACCGTACTAAGGTTCTTCTGGCCCCATTAGGAGATGATTTTCGCTACAATGAATATACAGAATGGGATTTGCAGTACAGGAACTATGAGCAGCTTTTTAATTACATGAATTCTCAACCTCAGCTTAACGTAAAGGTAACAAGAAAATGCTTATTTCTGGTTCTGTGTTTGAAATTGAGCCTCCATATTAAATGAGACCATAACAAACTATTCTTAGTTTCTTTGTCCTGTATCCCAATATTTTTTAGAATGTGTCATTCTTAGTAAAAATACCATTCATTCATTGGAAAATTGTCATATCCTGTAGTTCCATTTCTAAAGCTGACCCTTTCTTACCAATCATTGAGGATTAAAGAGGAATAGCTTTTAGTTTATTGAAAATTATATGCCTACTAAATTGTGGTTTTAATTTTCAGGCATGTCCTGTCTTCCTGCCAGTGTTGCAAGTTTATTGTTTCTCTCTGAGAACGCCATCCTTCTAACTTAGTAAAGGTGACGGCAGTTACAGATGAACATGTCATGAATTTTACAAATGTTTGTGTCCAGAGCATACACTTTTTCTTTAGTGAGAAGACTTCTGAAATTAAATCCTTTGCCCGTGGTTCTTATATTTTAATTTTTAATCCTTATGTAGGATTCAAAATGTACCTTAAACTTGAGAATCGTACATATAGCCCCCTTCTCTTCATATCCATGGCTCAAATTCAGTGTTTTTCAAACCAAGGCCCGTTGCTCTCACCCCTCTCCCAGGATCATTTTGGAGCAAATCTTAGCTGTCATGTAACTGTTTCAGTGTATATATCTAAGTGATAAGGATCTGTTTCAAGCTATAATCATGAAAATGTTAGATCTAAAATTTTAACAATAATTTGATAATATTATGGATCTGGGTAGATGAAAACTTTCCTGATCTTATAAAAACAAATGTTTTGTTTGAGTCAGGATTCAAACACGAGACATCCAAGCCTTGTATGCACATATGAATAATAAAAGAAAAAAAATAAAATAAAATACAGACTTCCCAGTCCACTTCTACAATTTCAAAAAAAAAAAAAAAAAAACACGAGAAATATATTTGGTCAATAAGTCTTTTCAATTTTTTTTTTCCTTAAATGCATGCTGGAAGACCTGGTGTGATTAAATTAATTATTCAGTATTTATTACATTCACATATTAACTTCTAAGATATTCGGAGATTAGTCAACATATTATAGAAGGGAGGTGATGTTACTATGTAGATGATGGGCTACAATGGATACAGCAGAAGTTCAAGTTTATTAAATATAACCATATGTGATATCAAGTGGATAAACTTATATAAAATATCAAACTTATTCAGGATACTTAGAACTAATTTTCTTCCAGTTTACAATCTGTGAGCATAAGATGTCTGTATTCTCAACGATGATGCTCATACATGAATGTATGACGTTTTCACTCCTATTATTTCTATTTGAGTTTTATACGAAGGGAGTCATGTGTGTGTATTTTGTTGTGTCTGGCTTTTTGTTCCACATTGTGTATACAGTTTCTCTTCACTCTTTTGAAATTGTATGTGGTATTTCTAATGTACATTTGATGAGTATGCCATAATTTATACATTTCACTATTGATGGACATATAAGTCATTTCCAGTTTCTTCTATTACAAGTAAAACTGCTTGAACATGTTCGGCATGCTTTGGTCACATATATTATGAATTTATGTGGGTATAAAATGCAATGGATTTTTTTTTTGATCATTGGGTATGCACATTTAACTTTAGATATTGCAACATTTCAGTTATGACAATTTCAGTTGTGCTACAGCCTTACTCAAACTTTGTGTTCTCAGAATTGTTTTTTTCTTGCATTTGTATCCTTTGGTAGATGTGTTAGACTTTTTGTCACTGTGACAAATATTTGAGAGAGGCCAGGCATGGTGGCTCATGTAATCTTAGCTTCTTGGGAGACAGATTAGGAGGACTGTAGTTTGAGGCCAGCCTGTGCAAAAAAAAAAAAAAAAAAAATTACTAAGACCCCATCTCAGCCAATAAGCTGTGAGTGGTGGCACACACCTATCATCACAGCTACTTTGGAAGTATAAACATGAGGACCACAATGTGATACCCCATTCAAAAAATAATTAAAGCAAAAAGTAATGGGGGCATGACTCAAGTGGTAGAACACTTCCTTAGCAAGAGAAAAGCCTTGAGATCAAACCCTAGTACTAACAACAACAATAACAAAAATGTTGGGAGAAACAACTTAAAAAATAAAGATTTATTTCAGCTCAAGGTTTCAGTCAGTGGTCACTTGGCTCCATGTTTCTGGGCCTGTAGTATGCGGTAATGTTGGAAGGGCATCAAGTTGGAAAGTGTCTCACCTTATGGCAACCAGGAAGCAGAGCAAAAGAGTAAGGGGCTGGGGTCCCCACACACCCTTTAAAGGCATGCCCCTCAAAATAGTTTCTGCTGGGTATTGAGGGGGGGAGGGAGGGGGCAGAGTGGGTGGTAAGGGAGGGGGTGGGGGCAGGGGGGAGAAATGAACCAAGCCTTGGATGCACATATGAATAATAAAAGAAAAATGAAAAAAAAATAAAATAAAGGCATGCTCCTAATGAACTACTTCCTCCCCCTGAGCCCACCTCCTAACATTTCTTTACTTGCCCCTAGTGTCACAGCTGAGGAACAAACCTCCAGGAGACATTCCAGATCCAGACCCATACTGTAACAATAGATGTGATGTTTTTTTTTCTGTTTCCTGGGTGTTAATGAGTTGATCCCCTTTTCATAAGTTTAATACCATTTGGGTGTCCTTTTTTGTAATGTGCCTATTGCAGTCTTTTGATGGTTTTTGAAATTGAATTTTATTGCCTGTCTTTTCCTTACTGTTAATAGTTCTTCTGTATATTTTGGATTAAATCTTTTCCAGATAAAAGCTATGCAAATATTGTCTCCTGCAATGTAACCTGTGTTTTCACTCTCTTAATGCTGTCTTTCCAGGCACAGAAATTCTTAAGTTTAATTAACTCTGTTGTAACAATATTTTCTTTTAGGTAGTGCTTCTTGTGTTCTGTTTAAGAAACTTGTTTACCTCATGGTCAGGAAAATACATTTCTTATGAAGTTATTTTCTAGGAGCCTTATTGTTTTGTCTTCAGCATTTAAATCTAGCATCTATCTGTGATGGAGTGTTGTCAGTCATGTGAGATGTATTTTGCCCATGAGAATATCCAGTACCATTTGTTGAAAAGATCAGTTTCCCTCCCTGCAACATCATCATTGTCATTAATCACAAGCAAGACCACATTTGTGTGGGTCTATGTCTAGAATGTCTGGTAGTAGACTATTTAACTAGTCTCATATTTTATTAACTACTGCAGTTCTTACCTGATAGTGTAGGTCTTTCAGTTTTATTCTCCTTAAGATAACTATCCTTAGTCCACTTTAGTTCTGTACTGTAAGTTAAGTTCAACTTTTTAATTTCTACCAAAATCAAAACAATGAGGATTGTATTGAATCTGGATTCAATCTGAATACATACAGTTAACTGCTTTATAAATAACTGGACCAGAGTATATTCTGTGCATAATAATGCAATTGGCTTTTGCACTTAACCTTGTATTCAGTAACCTTATTACGTTTATTCATTTTATTTGTTTTTAGATTCTTTCTGAATTTTCTTTGTTCAAATATTGGCATATTTTTCTATTACTTTCCAAAGCTTCATACCTTTCAGTCTATTTTCTTGCCTTTGCAGATACCCTGTCCTTTAATTTCTATTCCTGTCGAATAAAAGTGCTAAGAGAGAGTGGACATGCTTTTCTAAGGGAGAAAATATTCAAACATTTAGAATTTCTCATCAGTTATGATATTTGTTTCTTTTTTTGACTAGGTGGTAAATTTTATCAGTTGCTCCTTCTAGGTCTCACTTTCTATTAGACCTGTATGCCTCATGAAGTGATTGGACATGCAGATACCCCAAGATAAAAATTTAGAACTTGCCTTGATGCATTTCCATTCTCTCCAGAGTTTTTGTTCCTTGAAGTGCTGATTGCTTTGATTCCTCTTGATTTTTTTGTTCCTAAAGTCTATCTAGTTGTATTGGTGGAATGTTTAAAGTTACTGCTTCTAAACTTTTTTTAATGAAAGGGAAAAGTAAGTAGCTGAGTTTAGATGTCTTAGGGATTAATATTCAACTGGCCAAGACAGTCAGTTTGCCATTGATCATCACTTATTTAATAGTTTTGTAGTTTTTCATATGTGTTGTTCTGATAGATGTGTCTTATATTTTAATATTTAATTTGTTGGGCTGGGGCATCGCTCAAGTGGTATAGCACTTGCCCAGCAGTCATGAGGACCTGAATTCAAAACCCAGTTCTGAAAAAAAAATTTTAATTTGTTGCCTTTTAATGTATAAACTACTTAAATATATGCTACTTAAATATATATGCATATATATTTAAGTGGTTTGTACATTACATGTATATATATATATATACACACATACATACACATATACATTTGGCAGTACTGAGGTTTGAACTCAGGCCTCACACTTGCTAGGCAGGTGCTCTACCACTTGAGCCACACCACCAGCCCTTCAATATTTATTTGATTATTTTTATGTATGCTAAATATTCACTTTATATGAGCTGCCAGGAAATTTTTAAGAAGATTTGCTTTAAATAATTACTTTTGAAACTACTGTAGCACAGTTAGAGGATTACTTTTCAATCCTTAAAGATTGGATTAAATTGTAGAAAAAAGTTCACTAGGGCACTTATCTAAACTTCTAAACATTGTTTTGGGAAATTGCCAAGAAAAAATTGTCATCCTGATGTACAATAACAATTGAAGTATTTTAAAGGACATGCTTTGTTGTTATTATCATCTCAATGCTATGCCATAAATTTCTAAATTTTGAAACGCAAAGGGATTTTTGGAATTATTTACCTGATGGGGTTGTAAGTGCTTTACTCAGAACCTAATTTCCTTTAGCAGAGATATTAGGAAATTACTCAAAACTACTAGTGAGATAAGTGCTAAATATTAGAAATAGGGTTTAGAACCATGACATTGCTTTATTGTATCAAAATGACTTTGCTCTGTGTGTGTGTGTGTGTGTGTGTGTAAGGGAGAAATAATGAAATTCTGTTGAATAATCTTTTTTGTAACAAGAGTTCTTTTTGATATATGTTTATACTGTCTTATATAATGTTTCTTTCTTTGATTTGTAGACTAGTTTGAACTCATATAAATTTTTGTACTGGTAATTTAAATCATTAGTTCATTTGAGTAGTCAACCACGCAGTTCTCAGCATTCTAATGTTTTACTTTTACTTACTGTAGAAAATGTCCACTTTTTTAAATGACCTGCTGTTCTTAAATTTTCTTCTTTCTCTCTTCTAAGAACTCAAAACTGGAAGATGGGTCAGAGAAAGTACGATATATGAAATACCTTATGGCTAACAGAAATGTTCTTTACTCTTAACTGGAACATTTTGCTTTTTAGTTTTGCTACCCACATCCCACCCTTTCATTCATTTAGATAACTTCATGCCTGGGTCCTTGAATACTTCAGAACTTTAAAGATATGTAAGGAGCTTTCATGGCCAAAAATTTGTAGTTCTAAATAATTCTCCTCCTGTTTAAGTGTACCTGTTTTCTCCTAGTTAAATTTGAAACTTGATGCAAGTAAAAGAAAGAGTCCCTTGTATTTTTGCCCTGCTTTTGATCCTGGTAAAATTTGTGCTGTATGCTCATTTTCACTTAGAAGTGTATCTTAAACATTTATTAGTAGCTTTTCCTTTCAGTGTAAGAAGCAACACATTTTAAGGTAGAAATGAATAAAGTATAACTTCCAATTTTTTTAACTAGATACAGTTTGGAACGTTGTCAGATTATTTTGATGCACTGGATAAAGCAGCTGCAACTGAGAGAAAGAAGGGTCAGCTGATGTTCCCTGTTCTAAGTGGAGATTTTTTCACCTACGCGGACCGAGATGATCATTATTGGAGTGGCTACTTTACATCCAGACCTTTTTACAAAAGAATGGATAGAATCATGGAATCTCATTTAAGGTACATTTTAGTTACATTTTTCATTCACTTCCTTTATGTTATGGTAGCCTTTTTGTAGAGTTTTGCATACTGTAAACCACTTATGCGGTTTTATAATGCACTTAATGTAATTGTGAAATTTTAATACAATTAGAAATGTCTCTAAAGTATAATCAGATTATTACATTGATTTGTTCTGGGATGAAAAGCAGTTTATCTAATTAGATTTTCTTGCATTTATATTCTGTGTTTTGTATTTTTATAATGAATTCACCTGTGTTAATTTACATGCTATATTAACATTCCACGAGATCATCACGTGTGTCTACAGACCAGTAGTCCAGAAGGCTATATTGTTAGAAACATGGGCAAGTGTCAATGAAGTAACTAGGACCTCTCATCAGCCCAAAGTGGCTCCAAGTGCACACTCTAAAACGAATGTATTGTGTGTGGGAGAACTTTAGAGGCTCCATTTCATTTCTTCTTTATGTAAGATGTATTTCTCTAGGTATGACTTTTCTGCTTAGCAGAGATGAAAATTGATGGGGCTGGCTGAGTGATTGGCTGAAAAAACAGACTGATTCAGAGTAGATAGAAAAGTCAATAGAAACTAATAACATCAATGTAGCATGAATAGTAGAACTTTCCACTGTCCAGTGGAACTTCCTACAGTGAAAAGTTCTGGTTCTGCACTGTCAAGTGTGGTGTCTGTGTCTGTCAAGCACTTGGAAGGTGACTCCCATGTATTGAGTTCTCAATTTCATCTAATTTTTAATTAATTTAAATGTCAGTAGCCATGTGGTAGTGACTACTGTATTGAGAAGTACGATTCTCAGAAATTGAGTCAGATTCTTTTTTTTTCTGGTAAAGTTGAACTACCTCACTGAGTCCCAAGACTTCCTCTCTACATATCCTAGTAGAGTAATTCATTATTATGATGAGGCTTGGTATTGAAAATGTATTAGATTGCACCTGCCATTTTTTTGTATACTAATGGGTTCTGAGTACATTTTAGAAAGACTTTTTATAAATCCCTAAATTTCAAGAAAATTGGGATATGAGAGAGAATATATCTTGTTATATTTATAATAAAAGTATTCATACATTGTGAGAAATGCATAAAATGATCAGTTATCTGTTAACTTATTCTCAGCTTTCTATGATAAAATAGAATAAATGCTAACAATGTAGAGATTCTTTCACCCCTGAATTTATGATTTTAAATGTTATATTTTCTAATGGTAGGGTTGTGAATATCTTAATTTATTTTGAAAGTCCTGCTTTAAAGCAATGCAAAGCAAAAATTATGTAATAGTTTTAAATTTCCAAATGTATTAATTTATTTGAAAATAAGTATCTTGTCTGAAAATAGTAATATTTCATCCTCATTTGTAAAATGAGGATAAAATAGAAAGGTATAAGGAAGAAAGTATTTTTAAAAACTACTGTTTAGCATTTTTGGATATCTGTATCACATATATTTACTCTTTTCAAAATCAGGAATATTGGCATGGATATATATACATTATTTGCTTAATTCTAACTTAGTGATTTTCATGCCATGATTTTTGGAACATTTTCAAGTGGAGTTTTTTTCATTGTCTTTCATTTATTTCTACAACATAGTGGAATCCATCAGTTTTTATAATAAAGCACTTCCAGTATCTCCTTTTTCTTTGAAACATTTTAGATCTGCCTTGATTTTATCTTTATTTTCCTTTACATGTTTGACAGAGAGGCTTCTTATGCTTCTTGCCACTTAATTTATGTCTTTTTAAATTTCTACAATTTTAGCATGTATTAATTATAGAAACAGTGAGTTTCATTATGCATTTTCATATGTGTAAATAATGTACTTTGTCATATTTACCCCCGTTCCCCTTCTCTTCCCTCTTGATTTTCCCCTTCCTTTGCTCTAATAGCCCCCCTCCTAGTTACATGTCATTTATTTGGTAGGTTGTTTGTTTTGGTGGTGCTGGGGTTTGAAATCAGGGCCTTGGCCTTGCCAGGCAGGTGCTCTGCCACTTGAACAATGCTTCCAGCCTTTTTTGGTTTATGTTATGTTTTAGATAGGCTCTTAGGCTTTTGCTTGAGATGGCCTGAACTGTTACCTCCTACCTATAGCTTTCTGTATAGCTAGGACCACAGGCATGTGCCACCATTCCCAGCTTATTTGTTGAGCTAGGGTCTTGTTAACTTTTTGCCTAGGTTGGCCTCAAACTGTGATCTTCCCTTCTGATCTCTGCCTCTCACATAGCTGGGATTAGAGGTGTGAGCCACCATGCCTGTATATATATATATGTATATATATGTATATATATATATATATATATATATATACATGTATGTGTGTGTATGTATAGGGAGGTGTGTGTGTGTGTGTGTGTATATATATATATATATTTTTTTTTAAAGATCTAGATTCCACATAAGGCCATGTCTCCTCTTAAAGAATTCCTTTAGAACTCTCCTTTTGAAGATTTCCTGAACAATTTCTTCTGAAGGAAAGAAAAGGTGTAGATCATAACCCTCTGTGTTCTTACCCCCTGTGAGAGTAGATGGTATTCTGGTGGTGATGTCGTGGTATTCATCCTCTCTGCTGTGTTAAGATTTTTTTTTTTCACTGTGTTACTTACAGGAGCAGGCTCATTTTCAGGATCATCTAGAACTAGGACCTTCAATATCATTGTAAACATAGTGGCCTTTATTGGGTTTTTTACCATAGTCATCTTAGATACTTGAGAACTTAAATGTTTTAGATAGCTTGGTGGTTCTATATAAACTGTAGTCTGTATTTTTTAGTATAAATTGTATTAAAATTGTAGGCTTAAAAATGTTACTAGCATAAATTAATTATATGAAGGGTTTGATTGTGATATTTACATAGTTATCTAATATATTTTGATCAGATTTATCCCATCTATAATACTCTTTCTTGCTTTCTCTTCCTTTTCCTCCTTGCAGTAGTTTTCAGTGGGCTTCATTATTCTGCTTTCCTATGTGTATTTAATGTATCTTGGTTACCGTCTACTTCCTCCCTTTCCCCTTATACTGTTTCTCATCCCCGAAGTCCCCTTTTTTACAATCATGTCATATTAGTGTAGATTGTAGATTAATTTAAAACCACATTTAAAAACTATCAATGTCATACATTTTAGATTATAAGCTAAAATATTTACTTTGAAATGAAATTTAATTACTCTTTTTTGCAATTAGGGCTGCTGAAATTCTTTACTATTTTGCCCTGAAGCAAGCTCAGAAATACAAGATAAATGCATTTCTTTCGCCAACACATTACATGGGACTAACAGAAGCCAGAAGGAATTTGGGACTCTTTCAACATCATGACGGTATAACAGGAACAGCAAAAGATTGGGTAGTTGTGGATTATGGTACCAGGTAATGTTATTAGGAAAAATAATTTTTAAAAATATTAAAAATTTGAGACATACAGTTATGTATATCTTGAGATGAAGCTCTTAATGCATGTCAGAACACATTAATAATGATATTCCTTGTATGTATTGCTACAGCAAGCATCACCACTTTTTCAAAGCGTTCTTCAAGAAATCTTTCAAAGCATGCTAGTTGCCCCAACTTTCTTATTGTCGTGTATTTCTCTGAATAGAGTAGTAAAACATTATAAAGGTGATCCTGTTTTCTCCTGAGTACAGCATAGAAATTAGGGTTATCTTTTTTTTTTTAACATTTTTATTAGTTTATAGTAGTTGTGTATGGTATTTCTTTGAGATATTTCCTTATATGCATATAATGTAAGGGGTTATCTTCTTTATCAATGATTTGGTACCAAACAAATCATAGTTAAAATCCAAGCAGATAAAAAGCCCCACTTCATTGTATAGCAGTTCAGTGTCATTCTGCTTGATAGCAAGTTGTTCTTGGATACTTAAATTATTATTAGAGGGACATTGACAGAAAAGAATGAGATGAGGAGCAAACCAGGAAGGAAAAGGACCTAGAAAACAAGTTATGTATGGGTGATGTAAGCAGCTGAGGATGAGAAGGGTGGCTGCGGTGTTGATATCAGAGCTTTCTTTCTCACTGGAGACCTGTAGGGTAAGCAAGGGAGGAGAGGCTCAGTTATTTCTGTATCAAAGAATTAGGAACAATGAGTACAGGCTTTGGCTCAGAAAGGGAAAGGATTTGGTAAACAATGCTCAATAGTGGAAAAGCTAACCTATTGTGAGAGTGACATCTCTGTTGTCCTGCCAGAGTGTGGATGCCCATTCAGTGCAGAGGAGATTCCTAATACTGGAGAAGAAGTGTTGGCTATTGTTTCACTGTAGTTTATACTCTTGTTCCAGATATTGTTTCTATCATCAGGGATAGGCAGGGCTAGGATGTGGCTCAGTGGTAGAGTATTTGCTTAGTTTGCACAAGGTCCTGGGTTCAATCCCCAGCACTGAAAACAACAACAAAAAAAAAAACCAATGGTATTCTTTGATAATATTTTGAAATCATTAAAATTGTACTGTAGTTTTCTTATAAATTTAAAAAATGAATTGTCTTATTATAACTACTCCTATATATAAAAAGCATACATAACATGTAAAAATGAACACTAAAAGCCAAGTGCTGGTGGCTCATGCCTGTAATCCTAGCTACTTGGGAACCTGAGGTGAGGAAGATTGAGGTTCAACGCCAGCCTAGGCAAATAGTTCATGAGACCCTGTCTCCAAAATAACCACAGCAAAATGGACTGCAGGTGTGGCTCAAATGGTAGAGGAACAGCTTTGAAAGTGTGAAACCCTGAGTTTAAACTCCAGTCCAATGGGGAAAAAAAAATCACTAAAACATAGACCCACACATAATGCTGTTAATTGTAGTAAGTGTTAAGTTTTTATTTGTACTATTTTGACTAGTTTTATAGAAATAAGGGAAAATATTCCTAAGGTTTTTATTGTTGACTTCGGTACTTCAGAAGTATATTCAAAGTAGTATCTTGGATATCTTCTCAATTTTCTTGTGGAAAATACATTTTTCTCAATGTATTCTGTCTACTGAAGCTGGGCTAAAAGTGGAAAACTCATTAGTTGATAGTGATGTTTGGTATTTCTCCCAAAGAAAGCATTTTTAAAAGTAAGGCCAGAACCTTCATTTTTCCTTTTCACTGGTTCTTCCTTATTGGTTTTTTGAGAGGTTAGAAGTGAGACTACCACTAGAGCTCCTTAGAGGGAATAGAGCAGCCATTCTCTTACACTGCCTCCTTGCTTTTTCTGGCTGCCATATTAAATAGATTTGGGTATAGATCAGTTAGCTTTTGCTACAGAATATTTTTTGTATCATGACCTTTCCTTGAGGCCTGTCATTAGTTTCTCAATATATTTTGTATTGCTTTTAGTTTACAAAAACAGCCCTGTACAGAATTGCATGTTAGAGAAAAAAAAAGACAGCAATTTTCAAATTGTGCTTGACATTTATAAATTTGCTTTGTGAGTACTTCACACTTCAACTGAAAAGTTACAAACAGTGATCAAGTCATTAGCACAGACATTTTAAGTAGGAAATTTCCAAACACAACTTAGAGAATTACAAACAAAGAGGCAGATAGCATTGAGTATTCTCTTGTATTTGGACTGTTGACTGCTGTTCATTCAGTTGTTGGCAGATATGTTGCTGTGATTAGGGATTGCATTTATGGCTGCTGGTAATTGCAATTCCAAATAGAATAAATCCTTTTGTGCTTATTTTATGTCCTATAAAGGAAGTTCCTGGGTCAGGTATGACAGCTCCTCAGTACCATCATAGATGGGGTAACTGTGAGTGTTATACTCCACAGTAGACTGAATGTTTATATCATGAACTGGAGAGCAAGAATATATTGTGGCATATCTGGAAGTTAATTCTAATTGTGACATGAGAAAATGAATTAGACTGGGACTGTTCATAATGGATGGTCATTTTAAAAGTAGATAATGGGGTTTATGAGGAAGGGAAGAAGAAATTGTAATGAGGTCAGTTACAGAAAGGATTTAGAATTCTGCCAATTTTTCCTAAGTTGTAATTAATATAGGTAGGAAGAAACTGAACAAAAGGTCCTAACATATAGATGAAAACTACCGAGTGACAGATACCATACTATTTGTTTAAACAATAGCATTGACAACAAACTAGAAAGCTATGATTCCTAAGTGATTTTCCCTCAAGTATATTCCATATTAATAGGATAATTACACATTAGGATGTTAAAGGTTCTGAGAAATCCCATATTGATGAAGTACTTAAAACATTTAAAATTTGGTTATACCAGTTTTCCTCAAATTTTCTTCTGAACTGAGAGTTAATGTTTCTTTTGTACTTGTTTTAACCCTTTTTGATTTTCTTCTAAAATAAAGGAACAAATAATTGGTTTGTGATACAATCCCTTATAGCTATTGAAGTAATCATTCTGGATACTCTTATTGTTTGATATGATATTTATAGAAAGCATAAGCATTTTAAATAAGTTGGTATGTTTCACTGTATTCAAAGTTTTCTATTTAAAAAGAATCCATATCAGTGAAAACTTTCTGATTAGCCATTTTTCCTAATTATTTACTTCTGGAGGAAAAAATCCAGTTCATTATAGATTCATTATAATTTTATTTTATGAATGTAAGATGTAGGTACTGTTGGTTTGAGTGTTATTAAGGAAATTGAAAATATTATATGTGGATTTTTGAATTCTTAGATTAATGAAATTTTTGATCTACAGACTTTATCATTCATTAATTGTTTTGGAGAAGATAATTGGAGATTCTGCATCTCTGCTTATCTTGAAGGACAAAAACATGTTCGAGTCTTTCTCTTCTGATACCTTCCTAGAGATGGTTAGTTGAGCTCTTCCGTATTCATCATAAAAATGTGAGATTCTTTTGTTCTTGGACTGGAAAAGAGGATGAGAAACTTAATGAAAAGATATATTGAATTATAATTATTACTTTGTGTTTTATTGGGAAGAATTTGTATCACTTTATGTCAGTTGCCTGTTCATCCCTCTTTTCTATAAGCGTGTATGCATTTGATTTCTCAGATGTATTTTGTTCTGACTAAATCTTAGTATGAAAAACAATAAAGAGAACTTATTTCAAAGTAGGTAAAATAAATAGGCTTTTAGAACAACTCTATTGAGGTGATATTATAGGGCAACTTGGCATAGTAGTTACTTATTCTGCTTGGCTTTAATTGGATACCTCTTGATACTTAAAATTTTTGTAAGTCTTAAGCCAGTTCATACCAAACCTGAATTCGAGTGGTCTTTAGGTTTCTGGTTTCCGTATGTCTGTGGGAGGCTGTGGGCTATGCTGAAATGTGTTCAACAATAGTGTAAATAATGAGGAGATTCTATTTTCCTCAACACTGCACCTGATTGAACAGGCCTTGAGAAGCTATTTAGGTTTTTAAAATAGGCCCTCATTCATTTGTTTGTAAAATGGATGGTAACAACTGCTAAAACAGCAGAGAAGGACAGTTGAGAAATGGTTGATTACAGTGCTCTTTATGCTTCTTCTCAACAACTCAGATGTTTTTACAGGGTAACTTAGTTATCATTAGAGTCTTTTATGAATGTCAGAATTTGAATTTTATATGTAATTTGAATTTATGTATCTGGAATCAGATTCAGCTTCAATATTTTTAGACTGATGCTTGTTATCAAGACATGATTATAAATTTTCATTTCAAAGTAGGAAAAAAACAAGAAATGGATACAGATTTTTTTTTTTAAGGATATGAAACATAGGATACAGAAGCAAAGTAGTAAATTATCCATGTAACTGATTCATTTGGTTCCAAACTGGAACACAACTCATTGTAGACTCTAGCCCTGGTAATGTATGTTGTGCTTAAGTCTGAACACGCACACATACACACATACACACACACACACACACACACACACACACACGCACTCACATGCAAACACACACAGATTGCTTGCTTTGAAATTTGATGTATTCTATTACATTTGGAAAGAGGTTTCTTTTTTCACATTGTGCCCTTTGCAAGATTTTTGCATAGTATTGCATAGCTAATTTTCATACTTATTAAAAGTGAAATAAAATATTGTTCATTTTTATAGGATTCAAAACAAAACTCACAAGATTCTCTGCCACAAAAACGTATAATACAGTGACCACAAATGAGCCAAGGTAAGTTTGCAATTTCTTATAAATTTTTACTACTTTTCTGGCTTAACATGTTTGGTTTTCATAGTTCTTGTCTTTAGTCAGCATATATTTTGAAGTAGTATTTCATTTAACCAGTTACTGAATTAAAAAATTTTGAAGAAATAGATTTTCTCCCATGACTGTCATACTCAATGCTAATAGCTAACACAGTGCTTGGTACATTAATTGCTAATTCTATAATTATAACTGTTAACATTTTCCATAAATATGTGATAGGGGAGAGTAAATGTGTAGCTTATGATTAAAAAAATCCCTTATCTTTGTAATACTGGTTTTAGATTGTTACATTTCTTGGTAAACCTTTCATCTAGTTGTCTGCTTTTTATTAATCGCTGATCTTATTAAACTCTATTGTTAGTAGATCAGTGGTCCTCCTTTAAATTGTTCACTAGAAAACTGTCCTTTTGCTCATCAGACTGCCTTGTTTTATCAATATTGGTGTATGATAAAGTAAGTGGAAAAGCTGTTTATTATTCAGAAACTAGGACATTTCTTGGGAGGCTATCTCCAATTTATAAAGAAGTGCTTTATGTTTTTACTGGCAATTCTTTGTATCTATTTTTTTGCGGGGGGAGTGGCTAGTGTTTGAACTCAGGGTTTTGTGTCTTGCAAAGCAGGCATGCCACTGCTTGAACCACACCTCCAATTTTGGAGATTGGGTCTTGCAAAGTTTTTGCCTTGGCTGTCCTCAAACTGTGATCCTCTCAAGTTCAGCCTCCCAAATAGCTAGGATTAAGGCATGAGCCACTGGCGCTCAGGTTGAATGAAAAAAAAAAAAAAATGACCTGGTATCAACCAGTCATTATTCAGGGGACCCAGCACATTGTGCATTTTTGTAATATTATTTCCTATCATTATAATTGAGAAATTTAGTGTTAACTGCTGACAAATTGAAAGGTAAAAGAATAAATTGAAGAATAATTCATAGTTTTTATAAAAACTACTAAAAAATGAATAGAATAGCTGGATTTGGTGGTCCATGCCTGTAATCTCAGCATTCCGGTGGCTGAAGCAAGATTGTGAGTTCAAGGCCAGCCTTGGCTGCATAGCAAGGCCTTGTCTCAAAAAAGTAAATAAAAGGAATAAAAGTATTAGAGGAAATTTATATTGGCTAGTAGAGTTGAGATTTTGGATAAAGTGTAGACTAAGCCTTGGTTGTCGAAACTTATTCAGTAAGTACAAACTTACGACATATAAAGCTTATATCTTAGAACAAGAAGATAAGTGGTTTTTAGGAATAATAAAGTTATTATTGCTATTATTTACATTACTGACATCTGAAAGGTTTCAGATTGTGAGGATATTGTTAGGATGAAATGATACTGATAGAAATATCAGTGAAAAATAATATCAATCATAAAATAATAAAATTTTCTTTGTTTTAAAATAAGTAATTTTTCAATACATTTGGGTTCACATGTCTGTTCCTTAAATATTTTATTCCTCATAAACTGGTGTCAGTAGCTTATTTGCACTTAGTCATAAATCGCCTGTTGAACATTTTTCTTTTGTATTTTGGTGAGGGAACGTCTTTGACTTTTCTGAAGAATGATAGATGGTTACTATAAGTGATGTTATGTTCCCTCCCAGCCTCTTTACTTTTCCTCTGGAGTGTAGGAGGCATGAAGCAGGCCAGGCCATAACAGGTCAGAGAAGGAGATATTCCCTTTGATTTCTTTCCTTTCTTCACTGGTCCAACCTTAGCCAACAGTAATTGACAGTTTAGCCTTACTTATGCTAGAGGAAGGGAGTCAGGGAAAATAAGTCTAGCAGTAAAGGAGAAATATTTTTGAACTTTAATATTGAGGGGTGGTTTTAGTTACAGATAAACATAAATGGAATTTATATAGTGGGGTGATTCCTTTTTGATGCTTCTTCTTAAACAGTTTGCACTTAAATAGTGTTCATCTTGCCATTATTTCTTTATAGTACTTTTTAATCAAATGTCAATGTGGCCATTTCCATAGGTAGGTAAATTAGGAATACTTCTGACTGTCAGATTTTGTTTTTATGCCTTTTATCTATTTCATACTTGAAAGCTTCATGAATAGAATAATTTATTTGTGGTTTTAAAATTTATTTTTGTACTTGTTAGTCACAAATTACCTTAGTTCCTGACCTGTCAGTAAAATCACTGAAGAATAAAGGAATGAGAGTGGCCTTTGAAAAAGGAAGAATGTGATAGTTTTATTGAACAGGCCTACAAGTTAAATTGCTCTTCTCAGCCTTTTGAAAGTTTTAGCGCTGTGGTTGTGAGTGAGTCTCATATTCCTCATAAGTCTTGTGATGGTTCTAGAGGTTAGTTTTGATTTAATTGTAATTCCTATTTAAGTAACAAATTTTTAATCTGAATAAACCATGCATTCACAATGGGGAAGATAACTCTCCCCAGGAGAGTGAAAACTGGTTCTTGGGGGATTTGGAGAATTTCTTATTCTTGTTAATATAGGAAGCACAGATAATAAAATGTAGAAGTAAATACCATGTGTGGCATTAATATTGGGGGGCGGGGTTATTCAGAAATAAATGTCTAAAAAGAGCTGTATGGAAATGATAATATAAAAAAGGTTGAGAAAAACTGATCTAAACCCATAAACTTAAGTAATATATGCAAATGAATTTGATCATTCTGTTGACAATGTTAGTTATTGCTATAATTCAACATAATTTAGTCTGTGACTATTTAGAAAGTAGTATATACTCTGGTGAAAGTCACATTAGTACATGTTGATGTACCTGATGTAGCTCACAAGGTTATGTGAGCATGGATTATAGGGCATGGATTTGTAGTTTCTGTAGAGAAAGCAGGTACAGTTAAGAATTAAAGTGAGGGCGCCTTGAAGAAGCCATAAATTGTCTAGCCTTAGGAATCCTTAAATGCAAAAGAGATTTTTCTGTTTCTCTACATTAATAATTTTCTAAAGAAACTTATTAGAATGACTTGCAAGAGTCGGGTCTTTGAAGACACTGATGGTACAAGGTAAAAATCTAAGGCAGGTAAAGAGAATTTAGAATTTAGTATTCTTTCAATATTCCATCTATATAGGAAGGACAAGAAGAAGCTACCATAGAACAGACCAGGAAGTCATGTGGTAAACAGACTTCTTCTGTAAGGTGGATAATTTGAAATGCCTGAAATATATGGTTAAAATTATATCCAAATAACCTCTATAAATCTGAAATTAAAGATTTTTTTTTTTTAAGTAGAAAGTTTGTCTTAGTTCATTTAAGCTGCTGTAGAATACCACACTGGGTTATTTGTAACAAACAGAAATTTATTCAACTCATAGTTTGGAGGCTGGAGAGTTCAAGATGTCGGGGCTGTATCTATCTAGTGAGGCCTTGCTTACTGTGTCATTTGATAGTGGAAGGTGGAATGGCAAGAGAGCCTTTTCGGGAGGGGTGTGGCAAACATCCTTTTATCAGGAGCCTACTCCCAAGATCGCTAACCCATTTCTGTGATGACAGCATTAATGTACTCATGAGGTATGGTTCTCATTACCTAATGACCTCTTAAAGTTCTCAGTTCTCAACACTGTTGCACTGGGGAGAAAGTTTCCTGTACATGAGCATTGTGGGACTCATTCATAGCAAACTTTTCTAGTTTGACAATAGTTTATTCAAACTACCATTATGAATTTTCTATAAATACTTTCTATTTCTAGTAAAGTATTCATTGATAAGTAATCCACCCCTCTGTCTCTCATGTCCCAAAAAAGAGAAGAGATTAACTTGAAAATAAATTGTTGACATTGTGGAGACACAAGGCAATCAGTGTTTTTTTTTTTATTGTTTTATTATTCATATGTGCATACAATGCTTGGGTCATTTCTCCCCCCTGCCCCCACCCCCTCCCTTACCACCCACTCCACCGCCTCGCTCTCCCCCCACCCCCTCAATACCCAGCAGAAACTATTTTGCCCTTATTTCTAATTTTGTTGAAGAGAGAGTATAAGCAATAATAGGAAGGAACAAGTGTTTTTGCTGGTTGAGATAAGGATAGCTATACAGGGAGTTGACTCACATTAATTTCCTGTGCGTGTGTGTTACCTTCTAGGTTAATTCTTTTTGATCTCACCTTTTCTCTAGTTCCTGGTCCCCTTTTCCTATTGGCCTCAGTTGCTTTTAAGGTATCTGCTTTAGTTTCTCTGCGTTAAGGGCAACAAATGTTAGCTAATTTTTTATGTGTCTTACCTATCCTCACCCCTCCCTTGTGTGCTCCCATTTTTATCATGTGCTCAAAGTCCAATCCCCTTGTTGTGTTTGCCCTTGATCTAATGTCCACATATGAAAGGAGAACATATGATTTTTGGTCTTTTGGGCCAGGCTAACCTCATTCAGAATGATGTTCTCCAATTCCATCCACTTACCAGAGAATGATAATATTTCGTTCTTCTTCATGGCTGCATAAAATTCCATTGTGTATAGATACCACATTTTCTTAATCCACTCATCAGTGGTGGGGCATCTTGGCTGTTTCCATAACTTGGCTATTGTGAATAGTGCCGCAATAAACATGGTGTGCAGGTGTCTCTGGAGTAACCTGTGTCACAGTCTTTTGGGTATATCCCCAAGAGTGGTATTGCTGGATCAAATGGTAGATCAATGTCTAGCTTTTTAAGTAGCCTCCAAATTTTTTTCCAGAGTGGTTATACTAGTTTACGTTCCCACCAACAGTGTAAGAGGGTTCCTTTTTCCCCGCATCCTCGCCAACACCTGTTGTTGGTGGTGTTGCTGATAATGGCTATTCTAACAGTGGTGAGGTGGAATCTTAGTGTGGTTTTAATTTGCATTTCCTTTATTGCTAGAGATGGTGAGCATTTTTTCATGTGTTTTTTGGCCATTTGAATTTCTTCTGAGAAAGTTCTGTTTAGTTCACTTGCCCATTTCTTTATTGGTTCATTAGTTTTGGGAGAATTTAGTTTTTTAAG